TCTTTCCCTTTCCTCTCCTTATCCTCCTGTTTCGTGGGGCAGGAGGGGCTGCGATGTGCAGTCGTCCCCCCCAGGTCCCCCCTGGCCGCCCCCCCGTGCTCCCTCCCCGGCAGCCGCTGCCTGCGAATGCCACGTAGCCTTGTAGTTGTTCCCCTTGGCTGCTCCGCAGCTCCGGTCCCAGACACCTCCCCCGCATCCTCCTGGGCTCGGGGCAGGGGGAGGTCACTCCTGTCAGCCCCTGCCTGGCTGCTGACCATGTCTTGCCCTCCCCCTTCCCGCTGTGTCTCCTCTCCGCCTTGGGACAGCAGTAGTGGGGACCCCACTGGGGCCGCTCTCTGCCCACTCCTATTTATGCGTCTCACAAAGGGCTGGGGACTTCAGCAGTGGGTGCTTCCCTTCGGGGACAGTCTCCAGGGGTTCTCTGCCCCCAGACTCAGCAGCCCCTCTGCCACCTCAAATCTGAGGTATTTTGTGTGATAATCTCCGAAAACAGGGCAATAATGTGCATTGCTGGCAGGTGTATTTGCTCCCTTCACAGCTTGCCCAGCTGGTTTCTGAGTTTCGTTTCTGTTCAAAACTTGGTTGGAATGATGGAAATTTTCTGTAATTAATAATTGAGGTTTCAGTTTCTGTCTGTTCTGCTGATACTTTATGTCTTCTCCCTGTCCTGTACTAGTTAAATTTTTTCACATCGGCAGCCTTTTCTTGCTTTCCCTGCTGCCTGATTGGGAATATTGACACATAGATAAGTTCCCCAGCAGCCCGCTCCACGTATGGCTGTGGCCTGTGATTCCTGATGTTTTCCTAATGTATTTATCTTTACAACACTCGGTTCAATAGGGAAATACTGTCTCAGTCACAGATGGAAAGACTGAGGCACTGAAATATTTATGGCCCAAGGTCGCACAGGAAGTATGTGGTGAGGTAGGGAATTGAATCTAGATTTCCTGAGCCTCAGATTAGCATTTGAACCAGGGAAGCATCCTCTCTGTATTTTAAGCCAATAAATTGACCTTGGAGTTAAGATCCAGTGTAGAAGAAAGTACTTTGTGTTTGGTTCAGTATCTTTGTGAGCAAGAAGCAAAGCCTGAGTTGCTTCCCACACTCGCATTCCTTCCCTTAGTTTATGTAATTTGTGAAAAAGGATAAGGTGGTAAAATGGCAAAGATGTTGACTTTCTCAGGGCTCAGTGTGTGTTCATGGATGTTGAAAGGCAGCCAGCTATTACACTCTCCTCTCTTTTCGCGCTTTTTACCTTCCCGTTTCCAAATCTTGGAAAGTTCTGGAGCGCTGTTGTTGTCTGGGAATCATTTATTCTCAGCTGGGATCAAATAAATCACATTTTCTAGAGAGCTGAACTAATTCACTGGATCCCAGATCTCTCTTTGGGATCCTTCATGGGGCAGCCTGTAAATAAGCAGGGCTGGGACTGATGGCTCACACACCTCCTAGAGCAAGCTCTTACAAGTTACTCACTCAGCTGTAGCTCAGGATTGTTGCAGCAAGTTTTTGGAAAACTTGGCCCTGGATGGAATGAAGCAGCACTTTGACAATGCAGTGGAATAATTTCAGCTCCTTAGGCTGGGGATGTGCACAACAAATACCACTTTTCCCTGCTCTTCTCTTGTGACAGCTGATTTTTGGTGGTGGTTTGGTGGTTCATTCTCTTCAGTGGCTTTGAGGAATTGGGTGTTAGAACGGTTTAAAACAATAGGATTCACCTTGAAAGAGAATAAAGATAACTTTGTCTGCACAAATCCGTTTCCTGCCACAAGCCTTGATCACAAACTGCACCTCTCTTTGATGTTGCACTGACACCAAATCTGGATGTAACTGTTCTGTAGAACCCTTTTTCACAACCTTTTGGTTGTTGTTTTTGGAGGTTGGCATTGGCATCCTGTTAACTTTGGGGCTTGTCCCACCCCTGCCAACAATTGTCATCTTTTATGGTTATTTTTAGGAAAGGTCTGGTCCTCAAAACAACAATATTTCATATGGACTGTGCAGACAGGAAAAATTCCAGTATTCTACTCCCATTCTGCCTGGCCTTGGGTGAATTTCATGCAAATTGAATTTTATCTTTTAAGCTTGAAAGAGTGGCATTTTTATTTGGTGACTTGCTATTTCCACCTTTGGGAAACTTGTCATATTTAGAAGGAAATACATGACTGGGAAGACATTCTTCTAATATTGTTCATCTAAGTCAGGAGCTGGTATGAAATATTGTAAGAATTCTTTCCCTAGTTCCATATTTTATTAATTTCCTGTCATGATTTCATTGAATCGGAGAATTATTTTAAAATTATATCTGAAAGCAGATGAGAAAACCTCAATATTAGTAATCCTGCAACAGGCAAGAGGCTTGAGGGAAAAAATTACATTTCTCACTTCTAATTTTGGTCTGTCTGAAAGCATCAGGTCTAAACTGTCAGTATTTAAACCTGGGGTTGCTCCAGGCTCAGGCCTCAAGGCTGGGGGATGTGGGAGCAGGAACCTGTGCATTTTTTCACCTGTTTTTAGCACGTTGTCATGAAGCTTCCCAAGGTCAAGATGGTTGGTTTTCAGCTGTTATCTTTGCTGCAAGCCAGACCTTCACTGAAAAGTTTTGGATTCCTGAGTGAGGAGCACACACTGAACTCTTTATTGCATTCTTGAAGAGCTTATTGTAAAAGCAGCGATAATTTATTCTTTCAGTGGTGCTAACACAATCCTTTCTGTGTATTGACCAGCACAGACAGACCACTGGCTCCCAGCCCTTCGGCCCTTTCAATCCTAATGTAAATCTCCCCTTGTTCCCAGGATCTTGATTGATGTGGAAAATGCCTCCTTTTGCCCAAGATTCACTCTGGGGCCTGATGCTTTATATTCAATGTTTTTCCAGTGTCTCATTTAAAGTGGCTCAGGAGGAACATTTGTTAGGTTGTGACTTCAGAAGCATCTTCAGGTGATGTCATCAGGGTGACTTGAAGACAGTATCACCTTTTTGGTGACAAGGACAATGGATTGCTGTGTGGGAGCTTCTCCAGGCAGCCCGGGGAGCCACCAGGACTGAGATTTCTTGGAATGTTTCAGTAAAACTGCAGAACACACTGCACCTGCCTGACTGAGCCTTATCTTCAGAGATTCAGGGGGAATTTCTTCCTGGAAAGGGTGGCCAGGCATTGGAAGGGGCTGCCCAGGGAGGTTTGGAGTCTCCATCCCTGGAGGTGTCCACTGGAGGTGGCACTCAGTGCTCTGGGCTGGTGACAAGGTGGGGCACAGGTCGGAATTGATGATATTGGAGACCTTTTCCAACCGTAATAGTTCAGTGAAAAACAATGTTAGGGACTGACTGATCCCTGCAACAACTTCCTGTGTCTGGAGGGCCAAAAGAGGGCTCATTGTGCAGATATTTTAGGAAGTGTTTTAGTGCTGGATGCAGCTTGAGAAGGGTGGTGATTTTTGCGTTATTAAATGCAACATCTGAAGTGATTTAATGACTCCTGGAGCTGTTAATTTCCTTCTGCTGGAGCATCTTTAGTGGAGCAGTTTTTAGGATAAAGTTGTGCTGCCCCGTAACAGCCAACTGGGATCATATTTCCAGCTTTATATACAATTTATGTCTTTTTATGGCCCTTATCAGAAGGCAAATGGATTCATGACAATCTAAATTTGGATATGTTTGGAACCTGATTTTTCTGTCTTTATTGCCATGTTGAGGAGTAGAACAGGTACAGAAGCAGGTAACTAAATAAATCCAGTTATATCCAAAGAACTCCCCAGTGCAGTTACCACTGCCTGTCCCCTCCTGGCTCCTGCTCTTTTCATGAATCTCTGGCATTCCCTGCAGCTTGTTTTTCTTCAGATTTCACATTTGCCAAGGCACTAACATGAAAATGTGTTGTTTTTTGCCTGCAGAAAGAAGCTTGAGGACAGCACACGTTGCTCGCTCTGCAGCAGGCACTGGAACACTCACCAGGAGGAATTCCAAGTCAGGAGAGTGGCAACGGTAATTACACAGAATTTAGGTTTCTCCCAGATTTTATGAAGTGTTTATTTTCTCATTAAGTCTCTAAGTAACACTTTAAGTTGAAATTAATGTATTTGACAGACCTCTAAACTTAGGACTCTTTTTTTTCTGGAAGAAAGTTCTGGACAACTTCTTATCAAATGGAAAAAATGAATTAGGGAAAGAGGAACTGATTGAGTTCTTGAGGTAAGAAGAGTTTTGTGTTCCACAGGAATATTATTGATTTTGTGATGTGGCAGCCTTATCTCTATTTTCACATTTCTTACTCTTTCTTCTCCCTTCACCCACTTAGCTGGAAGTTTTTTTCTTGGAGAGAATTGCACAATAGGCTTTGGATAAAGAAAGTAAATTCTGTCTTTGGCCAAATGCATTTCCTGTGTAGGGAACAGCTGGAGAGGGTGACAGCATTCTGGTAGTGCCTTGCTCAGATCCTTTGGTTTTAGTTGGAGATCATGGGACTGAGTTCCTTCTCATGGAACTGGTCAGGTCAGGGAACTGATCTGCTGGAAGAGCAGAAAGGAATCTGTCAAAAACTTGCGGAGGAATGTTGGAAAGCAAAACATGATCAGCAGATGGATTTCATACAAGACATAAAGAAAGAAGTGATAATCATGCTGCATTCCCTGGGTCTGTTCAGGTGTTCAGGGAGGAAAAGCATTTAACCAGGTTAAATCCAGGTTCATAAATTCAGATTAAGTTTTTTAATGTGTTGTTCCATGTCCTTTATTAAATGTCTTCAGCATTAATGTCTCTTCCATGGGAATCAGTTGCTTTCAGTTCTGCTAAGTGAGGTATTAAAGTGTCCCTGATGTGTCACTTGGGTTTGTCATCTCCAGTCACTTGCAGGAGTGAAGGCAGTTTAATGTTTTCATGGGAGGAGTTTTATGCTCCTGAAGGACTTGCAAGATGTTCATGTTGGTTTTAAGCAGATTCTGCTTAAAAAAAGCTTTAATCTGGTCACCCAGGTGTGTATTTTTGCCCGTTTCAATGTGAGAGGTGAGAATTTATTTAGAGGAACTATTCAGATTTGGAAGACATTATGTAAACAGCTTTTGGTGTATTGTAAATTGGCATGTTGCTTTTTAATGCCTGGATTTCTTAAAATATAAACTTAATAAAAATTTACATAAGCTATCATCCTTAGGTTTTTCAAAACTGATCATTTCTACTTAGGCAGTTATATAAAAATGTGATTCAATCCCCAAATTTCCAGCAGTTTTGTTGATTCACAAATAAATATTCAAAGCTCAGATGCAGAAGCAAATGATTTCAGGGTGTTGCCAGCCATCAGCTGAGCTGTGGCAGTGGCTCTGTGCTGGTCTGTCACCCTGACCGAGGGAAGTGTTCCTGCTCCAGCCTCATGGGGATGATCTCTCACTTGCATTTTTCCCTTGCATTTTCCATGAACTAAAGAAGTGCACATGGTCTGATGCCACGAGACTGCTCAGCTGTGGTAATTACAGTCATTTATTGGTGTGTTTTAGCCCTGGATTTAAGTGTAACCTGTTCTAACCAGCCCAGTTTGACCCAGTGCTCAGCTAAAGTGTTACAGCCCCAACCTCTGGTGTTGTGCAAGGAAAAGTCTTCGGCTGCTGTACCAAAATAATTCCTCCGTGCTCAGAGTTTGCTTAATCTGCTCCAATTTGAAGAAATCCTTTGCTTTTGCTGGGTTTTTCTGCTTGGTTTTGAAGTCCTGGTTTAAGAGGGTTGTTAAATGAGAGAGGCCTGTTTATGCTGCATCCAACACTCTGGTGATTTGCAGATCAGAGCTGGTGTAAAATCAGCCTTTGCTTCCTTAGAGCCTGCAGAAATCTGGGAGCAAACTCCTGGTTCTTCCACTTGTGAAATCCTGATTTTACTCCTTTTTTGTTGGATTAGACAGGAGTTGACTGCTCTGAGCTGTCTCATGGTAGGGAACCTTTCCTGGAAATGGCCTGGTTGCTGTTGGTTTTCATAATCTGCATGATTGCCCTGCCTGAGTCGAATTTAAAGTAAATAAATTGGTGGAGATGTGGAACGCAAGCATTTGGGCAAGAGCTTTTGGATCACTTCTGTCTCATACCAGCTGTGTATGTCTGCCATCCCATAATGCTCCCCAAATTCATGGAGGTATCACCCAGCTCTGGCACTAAAAAGGGCTCGGTTTTGGTGCTTTCCTGGCTCAATTCCAGGACGTTTCATCCAGGTTTGAGCACCTGGCATAGGACAAAGCAGAGCAGCCAAGCTCAGGGTGCACTTAAATTCCCCAGTTCTTCCTAAGTCCTTTAATATTCTAAAAAAAGCTTTTAAAAATACTTTAATATTCCTTGCCATGAGCTGGGTGTTCCTGGCTGGAGGGAGGGACTGGGATGAACAAGGTGCTGTGGAATGATGTGTTCCAGTTGGAGGGAACGTGTCTGCACATACAGCAGCCATTCCTTTGGGTTGCTTCCAGGCTTTCAAACACAACTTTTCCCCTGGAATCTGGGAAATGGGCAGAATTTTTTTATTTTCAGGGAAAAAAATTACCACAAAATGGCTTCAGTTTTACCTTCCACTTCAAAACAAATTTGTCCCATGGAGAATAACTGTGCTCACTTATGCAGATCCTTCTCCTGAATTTGGAGCCTTGGAGCGGGTGCAGTTCCCTGTAGGAACTTGCAGTTCCCAGCTGGCAAACTTTGGCACGCTTGGAAATGCTTTGTTTCATCTGCCCAGCTCTGTGGTACGTCCAGGTGGGAATTCCAGCTGCTTTTTAGCTGACCACTTCAGATCCAAGAGAGAATTTGAGGCACACACAAGGGCTTGTGCTCTGGCTTGTGCCTCTGGGTAGAAGTTTTTTGGGATTTCTTTTCCGTGGACTGTTGTGTCTGTTACTTCCATAGCTTCCAAGTGGTTTGGAGAACCATTTGGATGTAGAATTTCCATAGGATATGGTTAATGTGCAAATAAACTTCAAGGCCTAAAAAAACCAGAATAATGTGGTTTTAAATTCACAGTTTTACACTTGAAAATCATATTTAAAGAAGTCCATTGTTAAATTGCATTTCATAAAGGCTTTTTAATTTAAGCTTGAAATTTTTTGCTTTGTGTGGCATTAAAAATGGGCACCTTGGCTTATTCCAGAAGGTATCACCTTCCTAACAGGCAGAAAAAATGTAGTTTTATGTTTAATTATTTTTTCTTTTTCTTTTTTTTTGTAACAACATTTTTGCAGCTAGAAAGTTCCTCAATCCCTTTATTTTGTTAAGCTGAAATAAGAATGAAGCGCCTTAATGGCTCAGTCCTTTGAGCTGCTCAGTTCTCTGAACATTTGTAGAAGCAGGATTAGGATTAGGACGGGAATAGGGCCTTTCAGGAACTCCTCCTAGGTTCTGGTTTATGGATTGGTCACTTAGGAAGCAGCGCAGAAGTGCTCAGGATTCAACTCTGCTTTTCTGGCAACAAGAGAAAAGCCATAAAAGAACTAAAACAACAAAGGAAAATATTTATCTAAAAGTTATGTCATGTTTGCATTATAGAAACTGTTATTGCCAACTTCACAGGCCTCCTAAATGAATAATTCTGAGGGCAGGCATGACCTTAATGTGAGCATAATATTAAATAACAGCTCAAATCAAATTAATGCACTCTGGCCACTGACAGAGCTTTTCTGCCCAGCTCTTGCCAGTGGAGTTCCTTTTGGGAAGAGCAGCAGGAAGTTACGCTGCCCTTGGAAAAACGTGTGTAAGCCTGGAGGGTGGGCATTGGCCTCTTTGTCTCCTGGAATCCTGAGGGATGGAGTTTCAGGCTGGAAAACAATCCTGGAGTGCCGGGGAGCTGCTGTGGGAGGCTGCAGGGGACAATTGTGTGATGGCTTTCCTGGCACGCTCCCTCAGGAACCTGATCCAGAGGGGTGAGGGAGGGTGGAAGTTGATCGCATCCCTCAGGTCAGAGCTGCCGAGGCCTCGCTGTGTTGGATCTGCTGTTTCTGGGTGCTTTGAGGGATTTTAGGGTGACTGGGAAATAAAATTTCCATCCCAATCTTAATCCTCCTCCAGGGAGAATTTTAGGAGCGTTGAGGTCTCACAGTGGCCTGAGAGATGAGCATTAATACCAAATTAAAAATCCTTCTGTAATTTGGTCAGTGCTGAGCACAAACACTTGGAGCAGAGTGTGGAAGCCTTGTCCTGTGTGTGTGTGGAACTGGGGTGGAATTTTGTTGAGGTTTTCTTGTTTTCCTGGGGTTGCAGACCTCATGTGGGTCAAGGTCACCCCTGGATCAAGCTCTGAATAGTCACAATATTTGAGCCCATTTGTTGGGTAAATCATGAGGAGCATTTTTCAGGCAGGCTCTCTCAATATTGAGAATATTTGAGCCCATTTGTTGGGTAAATCATGAGGAGCATTTTTAGGCTCAAGGCTGTGTTGCCCTCCTGGCTGGAAGCCAAACTTCCCACAAGATGCTGCGGCCTAATTCCCTTGGGAGCCGTTATAAATGATTTCCAGGATTTTAATCAAAACATGGATTTAGTGGGGAACAGATGACTTATGGAGCAGGGGTGGTCCCTCCAGAGCTCAGGTTGTAACTGAGCTTCTGTAATCTTGCTGAAAGTAAACCCAGTCCACCCAGCAGGTCTCACGTGTGGTCCAAACTATTTTAGGATTGGGATGGTACCTTCAACACCTCGTTAATGCTGTTTACTGGAAAAAAATGGGTGGGAGAGGGCAGCTTGGGTCTTATTTCCCCATTTTTTCCTGCTTTAGAATTACATGGGTTATCTGGGTTTTTTAGGAGTTGTAATTAAGGTTCTTTTCTTAATTGGATCTTTTTGACAAGGTTATTCCTTGGATATAATTAATAATTAAAAGAAAAGGATCTTTTAATTCTTCTTGTTAATTGGATCTTTTTGACAAGGTTATTCCTTAGCCTGAGGTTGGGGATGGCTCTGTGGTTGTTTTTTTTAACAGCCTTTGGAGACGAGTGATGGAAAACTGAACTGACAGAGTGGAGGGTAAAA